AGACTAGACTATAGACTAGACTATAGACTAGACTATAGACTAGACTATAGACTAGACTATAGACTAGACTATAGACTAGACTACAGACTAGACTATAGAATAGATTATAAACTAGACTATATACTAGACGATAGACTAGACTATAGACTAGACTATAGACTAGACTATAGACTAGACTATAGACTAGACTATAGACTAGACTAAAGACTAGACTATAGACTAGACTATAGACTAGACTAGACTATAGACTAGACTATAGACTAGACTAGACTATAGACTAGACTAGACTATAGACTATAGACTAGACTATAGACTAGACTATAGACTAGACTATAGACTAGACTATAGACTAGACTATAGACTAGACTATAGACTGACTATAGACTAGACTATAGACTAGACTATAGACTAGACTATAGACTAGACTATAGACTAGACTATAGACTAGACTATAGACTAGACTATAGACTAGACTATAGACTAGACTATAGACTAGACTATAGACTAGACTATAGACTAGACTATAGACTAGACAATAGACTAGACTATAGACTAGACTATAGACTAGACTATAGACTAGACTATAGACTAGAGTATAGACTAGACTATAGACTAGAGTATAGACTAGACTATAGACTAGACTACAGACTAGACTATAGACTAGACTATAGACTAGACTATAGACTAGACTATAGACTAGACTATAGACTAGACTATAGACTAGACTATAGACTAGAGTATAGACTAGACTATAGACTAGACTATAGACTAGACTATAGACTAGACTATAGACTAGACTATAGACTAGACTATAGACTAGACTATAGACTAGACTATAGACTAGACTATAGACTAGACTATAGACTAGACTATAGACTAGACTATAGACTAGACTACAGACTAGACTATAGACTAGGACTATAGACTAGGACTATAGACTAGACGATAAGACTGACTATAGACTAGACTATAGACTAGACTATAGACTAGACTAACTAGACTAGACTAGACAGACTAGGACTATAGACTAGACTATAGACTAGACTATAGACTAGACTATAGACTAGACTATAGACTAGACTATAGACTAGACTATAGACTAGACTATAGACTAGACTATAGACTAGACTATAGACTAGACTATAGACTAGACTATAGACTAGACTATAGACTAGACTATAGACTAGACTATAGACTAGACTATAGACTAGACTATAGACTAGACTATAGACTAGACCTATAGACCTAGACTATAGACTAGACTATGACTAGACTATAGACTAGACTATAGACTAGACTATAGACTAGACTATAGACTAGACTATAGACTAGACTATAGACTAGACTATAGACTAGACTATAGAACTAGACTAATAGACTAGACTATAGACTAGACTATAGACTAGACTATAGACTAGACTATAGACTAGACTATAGAACTAGACTATAGACTAGACTATAGACTAGACTATAGACTAGACTAGACTAGACTAGACTATAGACTAGACTATAGACTAGACTATAGACTAGACTATAGACTAGACTATAGACTAGACTATAGACTAGAACTTAGACTAGACTAGACTAGACTATAGACTAGACTATAGACTAGACCATAGACTAGACTATAGACTAGACTATAGACTAGACCATGACTAGACCATAGACTAGACTATAGACTATACTATAACTAGGCTAATAAACTCAACTATAGACTAGAATAAAGACTAGGCTACCAGAAGGATGTTTAGATTATAACCGGACTCAATGCGGTCACTCTATGTTTAACATTTCATTTAAGTTTTCTCAACCATGTCCCTGCTTTATTGCCACTGGACAAAACCAAAAAGTGTGCATTGGCTAAGCAGAGACCGACCGACCGACTGACGAACAGACAATGCCATTATTTTCTATGCACTTGCAGCAGTCAAACTACACACAAGGACACTCTGATAAACCCTAACAGAATGCACGCCAGAGTAACACCACTACAACAGAGAGATGTGTAACACAGCAAAAAGAGGGATACCAACGAGGACAAAACTATAAAAAAAATATAACTAGCACAAGTTGAACTACAAATACAAAGGGAGGTAGGCGAATGCAAAACAACCAATAGACACAATGGCGGTAGGACACACACAAGAGGGACTTTGAATAGCAACAAAAAAATGATAAAGTATACATAGACATAAAGCAAATTGCAAATAAAGGAAGTTTGCTCTAACAGAGGGGACAACGGCGAAAAAAATCCAAAAAAATATACGAAACGGATAGAGAAATTGCACAGTAGCATAAAATTAGAGGATGTATTTTTAAATACACAAACACTTACACACTCATATAGCAATATAATCTGTGATGAAGAAGAGTATGACGATGGGACTTGATGCAAGAAGACAATAAATCTAAAATATTGTATTTTTTTCATTTCTTGTTAAGGGAGGGAATTAATGAAAGTTTGTTGTAAAAAAAAACTATAAAGTATTTAATAAAAGTGTGAAATTTAGTTGACGGAAACTTGTATATATTGAAAAAATATATAAAAAGAACTCAAACAAAACTCTGGTCAAATATTGAATAGTTAAATGAATTGAATATTTAATGAGATTGGTAAGAACTTTTTTTGTCGATTGTTTTTGAATTTTGTGGTAAGCTGGTGTGGGTTGATAAGAGGTGTTTGAAAAAAATGAAAAAAAGTTTATTAAAACTGCACGAATGGCTTCATATTTAAAAGTTTTCAATAAAAATAATTTATAAAAATTTAAGATTTGAAAATTGTAACTTTAGACTAGACTACGGACTAGACAATATTTTAGACTATAGACTAAACTATAGAATAGACTATTAACTAGACTATAGACTAGACTATCGCCTAGACTATAGACTAGACTATAGGACTAGACTATAGACTAGACTATAGACTAGACTATAGACTAGACTAGACTAGACTAGACTAGACTAGACTAACTATAGACTAACTATAGGACTAGACTATAGATAGACTATAGACTAGATATAGACTAGACTATAGACTAGACTATAGACTAGACTATAGACTAGACTATAGACTAGACTATAGACTAGACTATAGTACTAGACTATAGACTAGACTATAGACTAGACTATAGACTAGACTATAGACCAGACTATAGACTAGACTATAGGACTAGACTATAGACTAAACTATAGACTAGACTATAGACTAGACTATAGACTAGACTATAGACTAGACCTATAGGCTAGACTATAGACTAGACTATAGACTAGACTATAGACTAGGACTATAGACTAGACTATAGACTAGACTATAGACTAGACTATAGACTAGATATAGGACTAGACTATAGACTAGACTATAGACTAGGACTATAGACTAGACTATAGACTAGACTATAGACTAGACTATAGACTTGACTATAGACTAGACTATAGACTAGACTATAGACTAGACTATAGACTAGACTATAGACTAGACTATAGGCTAGACTATAGACTAGACTATAGACTAGACTATAGACTAGACTATAGACTAGACTATAGACCAGACTATAGACCAGACTATAGACTAGACTAATAGACTAGACTATAGACTAGACTATAGACCAGACTATAGACTAGACTATAGACCTAGACTATAGACCAGACTATAGACTAGACTATAGACTAGACTATAGACCAGACTATAGACTAGACTATAGACTAGACTATAGACTAGGACTATAGACTAGACTATAGACTAGACTATAGACTAGACTATAGACTAGACTATAGACTAGACTATAGACTAGACTATAGACTAGACTATAGACTAGACTATAGACTAGACTAGACTAGACTATAGACTAGACTATAGACTAGACTTATAGACTAGACTATAGACTAAGACTATAGACTAGACTATAGACTAGACTATAGACTAGACTATAGACTAGACTATAGACTAGACTATAGACTAGACTATAGACTAGACTATAGACTAGACTATAGACTAGACTATAGACTAGACTATAGACTAGACTATAGACTAGACTATAGACTAGACTATAGACTAGACTATAGACTAGACTATAGACTAGACTATAGACTAGACTATAGACTAGACTATAGACTAGACTATAGACTAGACTATAGATTAGACTATAGACTAGACTATTGACTAGATTATAGACTAGACTATAGACTAGACTATAGACTAGACTATAGACTAGACTATAGACTAGACTATAGACTAGACTATAGACTAGACTATAGACTAGACCATAGACTAGACTATAGACCATACTATAGACTAGACTATAGACTAGACTATAGACTAGACTATAGACTAGACTATAGACTAGACTATAGACTAGACTAAACACTAGACTATAGACTAGACTATAGACTAGACTATAGACTAGACTATAGACTAGACTATAGACTAGACTATAGACTAGACTATAGACTAGACTATAGACTAGACTATAGACTACACTATAGACTAGACCATAGACTAGACTATAGACAAGACTATAGACTAGACTATAGACTAGACTATAGACTAGACTATAGACCAGATTATGAACGATAGACTACACTATAAACTAGACTTTAGACCAGACTATGGTCTATAGACAAGACTATAAACTAAAGACTAGACAGTAGACTATACTATAGACTGGACTATATTGTAGACTATAGACTAGACTATAAACTAGACTAGACTACAGACTAATCTGTAGTCTATACTGTATACTAGTCTATAGATAAAACTATTTTTTCTGGAAAATTTTCAAATATTTTCTGAAAAATAACTTAATTTTTACTTCCCATTATAAATTTAAAAAGTCACTTTTCCTTACAAAAGCTTTTAACATTTAATTCATTTATTAATTACTGTTACCTAAATTAACTTTTCATCTCGAAATTAAAGTCAAACAGAGAAAAAAACCCAATTTAAATTTAACCTTCTAGAAAACCGTTCTAACACATTACTGTTTTCTATTTTCTATTTACAGGACTCGTTGCTACTATCCTACTCTCTACACATCCTTTTAAACAACATGAAATTTATTTTCCTCTACATTTAAAAAGAACGAGTGAGTATAAAAAATCAATTTTCACATTTTCATGAGATTTATATACAAAAAAAGCTACAGAAAATATATAAAAATTGTTTCAACAAAAAAAAAAAAAAAATCATACAACAAAACAATCAACAAACAAATACACAAGTAAATCATGCGTTGTTAAAAGGAGTGAGTGTGTGTGTTTGTAGGTATTTTTTTATATAAAGGACTATGAATCTGTTGTTAAAACCAACCATAATTTATAGAAAAATAGCTTGTTTAACATGTTACATAAAACCAAAATAAAATATAAAATAAAACCTATTGAAATCACAATTCTCTCTCTTACTTACACAAACAAATAAATCCTTTTTCCTAGCAACTGTTCGCATGTGTGTGCGTGTGTGTTCATCTATGTTAATGGAAAAAAATGTAGGGAACCAGGATTCATTTATACGCATAAATCACTAGTTAAATATTAAAAAAAATATATACGTAAGGAACCTACAATCGTGTTTGAGATTTACCCAAAAAAAAAAAGTAAAAGAAAAATACAATATAATAATACACGAACATAAAAATCTCTATAACGTTTTAGGACTATCATTTCCCAGTGTCATCATTCTTGTTGTATAAGTACCAACAATAAAACAAGCTTAAATATACACACATACAATTCTACAAATATACATTTACCCAAAAATATATAAACACTTACATATTTATCAAAACATACTTACAGTTACAGGGATTGAGAAAAATTAAGGGGAAATACTTCCTTACAAAGGAGCTGAAAATTTAAGGAAATTTTGTTGAACAAAAGCTCTGCTAAGTTTTAGTTTAATTTAAAATTAAGGCAAAAGTAGTCTAATCGAAAAGGTAGAAATTTAATTAAATTTATTTCACGAAAGCTCTGCTAAGTTTTAATTTAAACTTCAAACTAAACTCAACGCTTAATATTTGATCTACTTTAAAACTTTTTATAAAAATTTTATTTTTTACAAAATAATATTCCAAATAATGCTTTTTCTGAAGAAAGCTTTTATATAAAGCTATTTAGAAAAACATGTTTCATATTAAAGCTTTTTTAGAATAAATTTCCAAATAGAGCTATTTTTAAATAATAATTTTATATACAAGTTAATTTTCCACAAAACAATGAAAAAAAGTTTTTTCTGAAAAAAGTTATTTGTAAAGCTTCTTTTTAATGCTTTTTATCTAAAGCTATTTAGAAAAAACCTTTTTAGACAATTTTCTAAGAAAAATATTTTATATTAAAGCTTTTTTTAGAATAAATTTTCAAATAAAGCTTTTTATAAAAAGTTTATTTTTCGCAACAAAATGCAGCTTTTTCTGAAAAAAAGCTTTTTTAGAAAACTTTTTCTAAATGCTTTGAAAAAAAAACATGTTTTAGAAAAAAAATTTTATATTAAAGCATTTTTAGAATACATTTTCAAATAAAGCTTTTTATAATATGATATTTGTATATACATATGTAGCTGGTTCGAAAAAATTTTTCATAAAAATCTTTTTTTAAGAAAAAATGTTTTTCTTTATAAAGTTTTTTTTTAAAGCTTTTCTATATAAAGCTTTTTTATAATAAAATAAACTTTTGTATAAAAATAGCTTTTATATTTGTATCTCTCAAAAGAAAGCTTAAATTTTAAAACCTTTTTAAAATAATTTTCAAATAAAGCTTTTTATAAAACAGCTTTTCTATATAAAGCTTTTTTACAATAAAATAAACTTTTTTTATAAAAATAGCTTTTATATTTGTAGCACTCAAAAGAAAACTTAAATTTTAAAGTTTTTTTAGATTATTTTTTAAATAAAGCCTTTAAATGATATGTGTATCTATAATTCTCAAATAAAGCTTTTTGTAATATAATATTTGTATATATGTATGTAGCTTTTTATAAATATTTCAAAAAATTATTTTTTAAGAAAAAGGCTTTCCTTTATAAAGTTTTTTTTTAAAAACGCTTTATATAGAAATGCCGTTTTTTGAAAAAAACTTTTTTTGTAAAAATGCTTTTCTATATAAAGCTTTTTTTGTAAAACGGCTTTTCTATATAAAGCTTTTTTATAAAATAGCTTTTATATTTGTAGCTCTTAAAAGAAAACTTAAAATAAAACGTTTTATATAAATTTTCTTTATAAAAAGAGATTATTTTTATATATAATATAAAGCCATTTTAGACATTTTCAAAAAATCTTTTTCAGTTTTTTTCTTTAATATTTATATAAAACTATTTTAGAAAAGCTTTTATATTAAGTTATTGTGAAAAAGCTTTTTCATAAAAAAAATTATTTAAAGCTTTTTAAAAAAATATTTCTATTAAGCTTTAAAAAATATTGTTTAAAAAAGCTTATTATATAAAGCTTTTAAAAATATACTTATGTATGTATATTTTTTAAAAAAACATCTTTTTCAATAAAGCTTTTTTAGACTTTCTTTATAAAGCTTTTTAAAAAAGTTTTTTAAACTTACGAAAGCTTTAAGCAGTTGCTCAAAATAGTTCAAAAAAGTTTAAACAACAATTGCCATTATTAGCATTAAAGCTTTTAAAAAAGTTATATAATAAAGAGCGATTTAGTGAATAATCTAAAAATTATCTTTATAACGATCACTGCCTTAATTTTGTAGTATGTGTGTATGTAAATTGTGAGTTTTAGATTTATGAGACATTTCTGTGGGTGTTATAGTAAAGCTTTAATATTAGCGACAAAATAGATTTTTATATAAAAAAATAAATTTAAATACAAAGCAAGAAATTTTGTTAAAAAATGTTCGTACAAGAGTGGAAGCAACTTTAAAATACTAACACACAATGCATGTAGGTTTCCTGGCACCCTGTTAACTTTTTGTTAAAAAAGCACCATATTTCTTTATTATTTTCAGTATTTTTGTGAGTCTGCCTTTATTTTCTACACAAAAATATTTTTTATGTTTATTTTATGGCCATGTTGAGGTTGTTTTCCATCTCTTCTTTTTTTGTTTGGCAAAATATCATAAAAACGCGTCGAGGAAAAAAAAAGTAGAAAACACCAGGCAATCTATAGTCTATTTTTTTCTCTACATTGTTAGGGGAATCATATGCAAATTTTTCCTGTTTTATTTTCTTTCACATAAAAATGTGTAGATTGTTCTATTTTTGCGGAAAAAATTTTCAAGTTTTGTTTATTTGTTTGTTGTATGTGTGAGATTGAGTTTGTCTATATACATACATACATATTTGTCGACTTTATTTCCCGGCATTTTTTTAATAGTCTTCCTAGTATTTTATGGAGTAGAGAAAAAGCATTTTTTTGACAAATTGTGTGGTATTGTTTTAATGTCATAGATATAAAATACTCATATGACCGTTTGGTTTCTATTAGACAATGGTTGACGAAAAAAAAAATGATTTTTATAACATTTTTAATATAAGATTTTTTTTAACATATAAATTTTATGATATAATTGGAAAATAATAGACGATCTGGTTTTATATAACACACTATAGACTACACATAGACTAGGCCATAGTCTAGCTATAGACTTGACATAGACTAGACTATAGACTAGACTATAGACTATACTATAGACTAGACTATAGACTAGACTATAGACTAGCTATAGAAAGACTATAGACTATACTATAGACTATAGACTATAGACTAGACTATAGACTATACTATAGACTAGACTACTAATAGACTCTACTATAGACTATCTAGACCTAGACTATAGACTATATATAGACTAGGACTATAGACTAGACTATAGACTCTATCTATAGACTAGACTATAGACTAGGACTATAGACTATACTATAGACTAGAGACTATTAGACACTAGACTATAGACTAAGACTAGACTATATAGACCTAGACTATAGACTAGACTATAGACTAGACTATAGACTAGACTATAGACTAGACTATGAGACTAGACTATAGACTAGACTATAGACTAGACTATAGACTAGACTATAGACTAGACTATAGACTAGACTATAGAACTAGACTATAGACTAGGACTATGACTAGACTATAGGACTAGACTATAGACTAGACTATAGACTAGACTATAGCTAGACTATAGACTAGGACTATAGACTAGACTATAGACTAGACTATAGACTAGACTATAGACTAGACTATAGACTATACTATAGACTAGACTATAGACTAGACTATAGACTAGACATAGACTAGACTATAGACTAGACTATAGACTAGACTATAGACTAGACTATAGACTAGACTATAGACTAGACTATAGACTAGACTATAGACTAGACTATAGACTAGACTATAGACTAGACTATAGACTAGACTATAGACTAGACTATAGACTAGACTATAGACTAGACTATAGACTAGACTATAGACTAGACTATAGACTAGACTATAGACTAGACTATAGACTAGACTATAGACTAGACTATAGACTAGACTATAGACTAGACTATAGACTAGACTATAGACTAGACTATAGACTAGACTATAGACTAGACTATAGACTAGACTATAGACTAGACTATAGACTAGACTATAGACTAGACTATAGACTAGACTATAGACTAGACTAGACTAGACTATAGACTAGACTAGACTATAGACTAGACTATTAGACTAGACTATAGACTAGACTATAGACTAGCGAATAACTAGACTAGACTAGACTATAGACTAGACTATAGACTAGACTATAGACTCGACTATAGACTAGACTATAGACTAGACTATAGACTAGACTATAGACTAGACTATAGACTAGACTATAGACTAGACTATAGACTAGACTATAGACAGACTATACCTATAGACTCGACTATAGACTAGACTATAGACTAGACTATAGACTAGACTATAGACTAGACTCATAGACTAGACTATAGACTAGACTATAGACTAGACTATAGACTAGACTATAGACTAGACTATAGACTAGACTATAGACTAGACTATAGACTAGACTATAGACTAGACTAGTAGACTAGACTATAGACTTAGACTATCGACTAGACTATAGACTAGACTATAGACTAGACATAGACTAGACTATAGACTAGACTATAGACTAGACTATAGACGAGACTATAGACTAGACTATAGACTAGACTATACTAGACTATAGACTAGAACTATAGACTAGACTATAGACTAGACTATAGACTAGACTATAGACTAGACTATAGACTAGACTATAGACTAGACTATAGACTAGACTATAGACTAGACTATAGACTAGACTATAGACTAGACTATAGACTAGACTATAGACTAGACTATAGACTAGACTATAGACTAGACTATAGACTAGACTATAGACTAGACTATAGACTAGACTATAGACTAGACTATAGACTAGACTATAGACTAGACTATAGACTAGACTATAGACTAGACTATAGACTATACTATACTAGACTATAGACTAACTAGACTAGACTATAGACTAGACTATAGACTAGACTATAGACTAGACTATAGACTAGACTATAGACTAGACTAGACTAGACTATAGACTAGACTATAGACTAGACTATAGACTAGACTATAGACTAGACTATAGACTAGACTATAGACTAGACTATAGACTAGACTATAGACTAGACTATAGACTAGACTATAGACTAGACTATAGACTAGACTATAGACTAGACTATAGACTAGACTATAGACTAGACTATAGACTAGACTATAGACTAGACTATAGACTAGACTATAGACTAGACTATAGACTAGACTATAGACTAGACTATAGACTAGACTATAGACTAGACTATAGACTAGACTATAGACTAGACTATAGACTAGACTATAGACTAGACTATAGACTAGACTATAGACTAGACTATAGACTAGACTATAGACTAGACTATAGACTAGACTATAGACTAGACTATAGACTAGACTATAGACTAGACTATAGACTAGACTATAGACTAGACTATAGACTAGACTATAGACTAGACTATAGACTAGACTATAGACTAGACTATAGA